GGCTTACAACACAATAAGATACATTGAAATACAATAGAACATAATAAATTACCAATAAATACAAAAATACAAATTTATGGGTGAATATTTGTAAAGCCGACCTGAAGGAGAGAGACTGCTTTGCCCGTCCCAGCCTTGAGTGGACGGGACATTTCTAAGGGGTCAGTCCGTGTTTGTTTTCTCCACTGCCAGACTCCCTCCATGGTGCAGGGTGCCTTCATCTCCCCCGCTCACATTCTCCTACGGGAGTCCCAACAGAATCTCAACATGCAGATGGGTCCCAATACAATTCTTCATGGCTTGAAAACATGGGCCTTTATTTTATGTGCACAAGACTTCACTGGTTGTGTCGTAACAGCTAGCAAAGTTAGACTACTTTTCGGAAACAGCGCTTGCAAAAGTAGGAGAGCACGCTCAGGTGGTCGGAATAAATGAGGCCGGATCGGCCGCCTTGGCAAGCTATTGATATAATTAGAGCAGTCCTCGGCAGGCGAGGAAGGCATGTCTCAATTAAGCAATTTTGGAATATTCCGGGTTGGGCGCTTGCATCTGGGTGTTTTCCATAGACAAGCCCCTTGGAATTGAAATCCAGGTTGCACTGAGACATCGGAGCAGAGGGACCCGTAAACCAGGGAGAACAAGAACCACCAGTGGCAGCGGAAAGGTGTCACCTGGAAGAAAGAGCTCAGTTATCAGCAAGTAGCACAAATGACGTGGCACGAATTGTGGACATCAGTATGTCACTCCTGGCCTGCAAACCGCACCGGAAGACGACACGGCTTCCAAGCCCGGGAGGTTCTCCTTGAACGAGGGCCTTTCTGTGCTGGAAGCGAGTGTGTGTATCTTGGCGGAAAATTCCCCCTTAGCATCAGTTCCCAAACTTGCAGGAGTGGAACCAGGGAAAGGAAAAAGGAACAAGGAAAAAGTCACACCATGGAGAAATGTATCAGCTCCCCAGTTTTCACACCTGTTTGAATTCCAGGCAAAAATCCTCGGGTGAATCTTTCCATGGGGCATCAGCAATGAAGAGCAGGGTTAATGCCACGGCTGTTTGCGTCCTGCTTTTGACAGTTGTATAAACAATGTTCTGCCTTTTTAAAAATATGCTTTATTTGCAAATGTAATGGCCAAAGAAGGAAAAAATCAGGAGGAGAGAACAAAGAACCACAAAGCAAAGGAATCCATTTATAACAGTCTTAATAGAAAGTACGGCACTTCTATTTCAAATGTATATTTATTTATACTATTTAGATGTGGAGTACTGCTCCACATCTAAAATTCTGGAGCAGTGAACACTCAGAGGTTAAAACAAATGAAAGAATAAAAAGAAAACATTACAGTATTTTAAAACAAAAGAATATAGCCATGACTGCTGAGCAAGGAAGGATTTTCCAGAATAAAATCGTCTTCAGTAGGCACCAAAAGAAGCCCAGTGCTGGCTTGCCCAACCTGGGGCAGAGAATTTCATAGAATGTAGTACTCTGCTATACATTAATATAATAGTATATATGTGGAGTTTTCTTTTTTATTTTGTTCTCTTTTGACAGTCTATGATGAATTCAATAAATTAAATTGTATTCTAACATGGCCTTGTGATACATGGTCATACACTCTGGAAAAGACAGTACAGGCAGCCCTATATGAAGTGCCTGATGGTAAAATGCTGGAGAAATTAATTTCATTTATATTATACTGCAAACATACCCAATTTCTGACTAATTTCAAACTAAAACACAGAACAAAGTCCAGTTATCTTTTCACATTAGCAAGCCAAAAGAAAGACCTGTTTCTTGCACATTAGATGACAGTTCAAATGCACATGTTAGGAGAAACATGCAGAAAAAGTATGTATTCATTGACACATGAATGTAAAAAATTATTGCAGTACCTGATGAATTAAACTTTAGAAGAATGCAAAACTGATAGAAACTGAAAGATTTGTCCATCCTTACGTTACAGTAGAGGAGTACAAAAAGCAAATCGCCAAATATTTGGACTTCCAATTCCCATCATTCCTTTAGGAGCTGAACTTCAAAACCTCTGGAGATCCTCCTGGCTCTGGAGATCCACCTGGAGATCCACCTGGCTACCCCTCTTTCCACAGCCCTCCTCTACACAATATCTTCTAGCTGTCTGTGGATTTGGGGGGTTGTATTCCAACACACCTGGGGGGCAGCAGGTTGGAGAATCTGCAGTAAGGTAATCTCGGGGTCAAGCTGGGCAGCTTGCAGAGGAGAGAAATAGGTGTAGTGAATGATACTAAGCGAACACTTTGGCTTTCTCCCTCCCGCTTTTTCAGATGAAGCCATGAGGTGGCACGGAGGCCCCCCGAAGAATGCCTACCTGGAGCAGAGTTTTCAGGGTCTGAACTCCGTTCTGAACATCCCGATCAACGCCGCACAGGTGGAGCAGGCCAAAAGGAATGCAGCGCTCACGGGCACCAAGCTGGAGAACTGGGTGGACAGCTTGGTCGGAGGCGTCTGGTCAGCCGTCGATGTCTGTAGCACCGGCTCCACCGCCTGTCCCGTCATGCAGGACTGCGGCCGAACGTCGTGGAGCTCGCTCAGCCCAGACCCCAAGTCCGAGCTGGGCCCCGTCAAACCTGACGGCCGCTTGAGGTAGCACTCGGGATGCCCCTTCGTTGGCTTTAAAAGGGAATTGGACTGTGCGCTCTTGTGTCTCGTGTGGGGTGTCCGTCCGCACTTTCAGAATCAAAAGCGTCTTGTCAGTGGGCTCACTGCCGCGCTTCCTTCAAGAGAATGTTCCCGTTGTTGTTTGTGAAGGTCCCGGGAATGGCCTGGGCAACCCCCAGCTGCCGCATCGTTTCAAAGGTGTTGGATGGGGCAAGAAGGGGAAACAGGTAGGAAGAGTCCAGCACACAGGTAGCACTGGAAGGAGTGGCGTTGCTGGGAGAAGCAGAGTGTGGAGGCCAGGCCCAGATGCTGAAGTCGCCATCACTTTCCGAAAAGTCCTCGTACAAATCTAAAGCGAGCACGGATGTCGTCATGACGCCGGGCCGAGCTTTCAGTAGAAGTATCTGGATCTTCCCCTTTTCTGCTCCTTCCACACACACACACAGAGTTTTGGTTTTAGTTCTATCTCACCCTGCTAATCTTTACAGGGATTTCAATATTTGACCTTCCAGATTGCAAAGCAGTGAGAGAGGACTTTTCCCTCTAGCTGACACCTACAATCCTAAACAGACATGCTAAGAAACTGGGCCCCATTGGACATTGTAGGACTTACTTCTGAGTAAACATATAGTGGCGTCACACTAAAAGTGACCTTTCACACCTCAGAGACCAGTCAGTACCTTTATTCCAGTCTGAGCTTCCTTAGGTAGCAGCCAATGTTTTCTCAGTTGCTTCATGTGGACTCACAAGATGCTAACTAAGAGAGGGACGTGGGATGCAGGAAATTTAGGTACCCCTCTGCAGATACAGACACCCAGCTTGGTATCTGTGACTGCCTATCACATGCTTGCTAAAATAAATTGTCCATTAAGGTGACAAGTCACACAGATGTCGTTAGGACCATGCCTTCCACAGCGGCAGTACAAACTGCAGAGTCCAGTTGTTAGCATGAATCTAGGGACTCCAGCTCGCGCGCGTGTTCGCGTACACACACACACACACACACACACACACACACTTCTGTTGGAGGATCCACTGAGTTGGGCCCCAACTGTAAGGACAACTCTTGCCCCATGACGGTGGTGCTTCTCAATAGGTCGAACGTAGCCCAACTCCGGGTACACGCAGTTCCCCCCCAAAGCAAGGCCCAGAGGGAAGTGATCCGCGCTGCTGCCCAGGTTGGCAGGGGGGACCAACAGCTCCTCCTCCATTCGTGCCCCTCCCGGCTCCCCCCCCCCCAGCCTTTTGTTCTCCTGCCGCAGCTCTCCACCAAGATGGAAGTGGCTGTGTGGGAAAGTGCTAGCCTGGCTTGACAGGGAAGGTTACGGGAGCAAACGCTCATCTCCCACCTGCCCCTGCTCAATTTTCGGATTGCTGGGGGAGAGAGGCACCTGCCCCGCTAGCTTTTGTCATGCCCTCACTTAGCCGCATCTCCGGGAAAAGCCCAGGGGAGCCCTTGCGTTGACAGGCTGGAGATGCCCAGTTTGATCTCTGGCTAGGTAGGAATGGACTGACTTGCTCTAAAACATCTTCTTCTGTGGCTTGGCTAAATGTAGGAGGATAGGAGGGAAGCGAAATTCATTGCTCCTCTCAGGTAACCCTGTTATGCATTATGGAGTGTTATGCATCGAACGTTAGCAGTCTCCCTCCTTCCGCACCAGCCGGCTCCTTCAGCTGCTGACCCATTCCTAACACACAAACATTTGCCACCATCGCATTAGCTTAGCCCCAAAAAGCCCTTGCAAATCTGGAAGGTCAAGACTGGCTCGTTTACAGAAGGGGAATCAGGAGCACCCTGACACCCACCGATGGGTCTGATCTTGACTTTTTAGCAGTCTGTGAATCCTGCTTCCCATTTGGGAGGTGGTCGTTGGAAGCTAGGACCTCAAAGGAATGAAAAAGCATCAATTCCGTTAACATTTCATTTGCATCCCCTCCCCTTTCACAGAATCATCCTAATTAGATTCCTGGGCCTACATTGTGTGTTGTGTCGTTTTCCTTCCTTCGGGCCTTCAGTTTGAATCCCAAGTCTTGGCAAAGCACCAAACATCAAAGCACTCGGGCGGATGCTGTACGAAATGGCCCATTCAGTTTCATAGAAAGGTTTCTCTTCTCCCCTTGCCAGTATTTTGGGCCCACGGCAAACTTTCAAAGCTCATTCCGTGAGCCATTGGCCCATGTGCCAGAAGGGCCAACAGCATAACCGGGTTAACAAGGAACAGTTGAATTCCCTTTTAAAACAACCGCTCGCTCGTTTATTTCTCACCATCCCGTTCGGTTAAAGCTACCCCAGTTTGCTTTGGACTTCCGGGAATGTGCGGGCAAGGAAGGCAGGGCATTCGAAGCTTCGCTGGCACAAACGGGGGCAGGAAGAGGTGAGGTATTTATTTGTGTTTTAGTCAGTGACTAATTAGTAGGTGCTGCTTCTGCAGCTTGGAAATTATCTTTTCTTACTAACTAAACTGCCTTTATTAAGAAAAGGTCTTTCTTAAGAACACCCCCCACACAGGCCAAATTCCTTTCCTCGCTTTCCTTTTTTCCCTGCTTTCCTGCTTTCCATTCTCGCAAAGAGTTCTGATTTGCGGGGGCTGCAGGGGGGGAGGAGGGGATGAGTATAGCAGTGGCTTGCCACCGTGGGTCCACAGATGCCTCTGGACTACAGTTCCCATCACCCCCAGCCAACATGGCCCATGGGGTGGGAGTTGTCCTCCAGCAGCACCTGGGGACTCTGGGTGGGTTCATTCCAGCTTCTTTACAGTTCGGGGCTGCCGCTGATGCCTCACGGACCTCTCTTGACCTGGGCGGGGGAGGCTGAGGTCCCTCAGCCATGGTTGGAGTCCAGGCCCTGCCCTGTCCCGACAGGTGCGGCGATCCAAAGCGCTCTCCTCCAGCTTCACCTGGGGAGCCGCAGGTCTTGCTTCACCCTCCGCCACCCCGATTTAAAGGAGCAGAGGTCTGACATGCATCTGCTCACCCGTCCACCACCGCCTCCTTTCTGCTCGCTCGGCTCCTTACACGCCGTCTTCAGCAGCCCAGCTTGCATCTGAGGGCGACCTGCGACGGGCTGCAGAGAGGCTCGGCATGCGGGTCATTCAGGTCTCTTGCCCGCCCTACAAGGGCACAACCATGGACTAGTACAGAATTCCACTTAGCTGAGCCCTCCGGGTGTGTTGGACTACAGCTCCCATCATCCCCAGCCATCAAGCCAGATGGCGCCGGGTTGGGAAGGCTGGATCAGTGTCTCCCAGGTGACCACAGGAGTAAGTCCATAGTGCCCCGAAGAGCCACATCCGCCTCTCTTCCCCGGCTGGCTCTGGTGGCTTCAGAGTTGGGCGTCACACCAACCTTCTGCGCTCGGTTCTGAAGCAACCGTGATGGCGATCGGCCCCCAGGCCGCCTCGCTTTCGGCATAACCCTGGCCGCTTTCCTTTCCTGAGAAATCCTGTTTTCATCCCCTCCTTTTGGTTTGCTTTCGTTTTAATTGCTTCTGCCTTAGTTACCTTCTTTTGCTCAAAGGTGCTACCAAAGGTGCTACCTCACTAAGACTTGCAAATGCGTTTACCTGATGAAAAGAAAACAAGAACAGGGAGGAAGAAAGAATTACCTTCTCTGACCTGAATGTACAATCTATGCAAATCCTCTCTCTCTCTCTCTCTCTCTCTCTAAAACTCTCTGTCTCTCTCTGTCTCTCTCTCTCTCTCTCTCTCTCTCTCTCTCTCT